AACATGTGTATACCATAACCTACACAACATGTGTATACAATAACCTACAGAACATGTGTATACAATAACCTACAGAACATGTGTATACCATAACCTACAGAACAAGTGTATACCATAACCTACAGAACATGTAAATACCATAACCTACAGAACAAGTAAATACCATAACCTACAGAACATGTGTATACCATAACCTACAGAACATGTGTATACCATAACCTACAGAACATGTGTATACAATAACCTACAGAACATGTGTATACAATAACCTACAGAACATGTGTATACCATAACCTACAGAACATGTAAATACCATAACCTACACAACATGTGTATACCATAACCTACAGAATATGTGTATACAATAACCTACAGAACATGTGTATACAATAACCTACAGAACATGTGTATACAATAACCTACAGAACATGTGTATACCATAACCTACAGAACATGTAAATACCATAACCTACAGAACATGTGTATACCATAACCTACAGAACATGTGAATACCATAACCTACAGAACAAGTGTATACCATAACCTACAGAACATGTGTATACAATAACCTACAGAACATGTGTATACAATAACCTACAGAACATGTGTATACAATAACCTACAGAACATGTGTATACAATAACCTACAGAACAAGTGTATACAATAACCTACAGAACAAGTGAATACCATAACCTACAGAACAAGTAAATACCATAACCTACAGAACAAGTAAATACCATAACCTACAGAACAAGTAAATACCATAACCTACAGAACAAGTGAATACCATAACCTACAGAACAAGTGAATACCATAACCTACAGAACAAGTGAATACCATAACCTACAGAACAAGTAAATACCATAACCTACAGAACAAGTGAATACCATAACCTACAGAACAAGTAAATACCATAACCTACAGAACAAGTGAATACCATAACCTACAGAACAAGTAAATACCATAACCTACAGAACAAGTGAATACCATAACCTACAGAACAAGTAAATACCATAACCTACAGAACAAGTAAATACCATAACCTACAGAACAAGTAAATACCATAACCTACAGAACAAGTGAATACCATAACCTACAGAACATGTGTATACCATAACCTACAGAACAAGTGTATACCATAACCTACAGAACAAGTAAATACCATAACCTACAGAACAAGTGTATACCATAACCTACAGAACAAGTAAATACCATAACCTACAGAACAAGTAAATACCATAACCTACAGAACAAGTGAATACCATAACCTACAGAACAAGTGAATACCATAACCTACAGAACATGTGTATACCATAACCTACAGAACAAGTGTATACCATAACCTACAGAACATGTGTATACAATAACCTACAGAACATGTGAATACCATAACCTACAGAACATGTAAATACCATAACCTACAGAACAAGTGTATACCATAACCTACAGAACAAGTAAATACCATAACCTACAGAACATGTGTATACAATAACCTACAGAACATGTGTATACCATAACCTACAGAACATGTGTATACAATAACCTACAGAACAAGTGTATACCATAACCTACAGAACAAGTGTATACCATAACCTACAGAACATGTAAATACCATAACCTACAGAACATGTGTATACCATAACCTACAGAACATGTGTATACCATAACCTACAGAACATGTAAATACCATAATTTACACAACATGAAAACTAGGAAGAAAAAAAACCCAGGAATCTACAGTTCATGCAAACACAAGAATACATAGAACATGTAAACACAATAACACACATGACACGTGAACACAATAACACACATGACATGTGAACACAATAACACACATGACATGTGAACACAATAACACACATGACATGTGAACACAAAAACACACATGACATGTGAACACAAAAACACACATGACATGTGAACACAAAAACACACATGACATGTGAACACAAAAACACACATGACATGTGAACACAAAAACACACAGCATGTGAACACAAAAACACACATGACATGTGAACACAAAAACACACATGACATGTGAACACAATAACACACATGACATGTGAACACAAAAACACAATAGCATGTGAACACAAAAAACACACAGCATGTGAACACAAAAACACACATGACATGTGAACACAAAAAACACACAGCATGTGAACACAAAAACACACATGACATGTGAACACAAAAACACACAGCATGTGAACACAAAAACAGGAGGGTATGGGGTGGGGGGGGGGGTGGGGATGGGCAGGTTGAGTAAAATACTGACAACAGTCAACTCATAGAGTGCTAGTGGAAACACAACAGGTAATGAGATAGGACAACCACAAACTGAAATAATTGTGCGTTTGAGGTATGCATTGGAACACATCATGTGGAGAAAAGAATTGTGGAAGGAGGTGTTCCTGGAAGGATGAGGATAGTAAGGCCACAATTTAGATGCTACAATATGGATGCCACAATGAAGATGTTCTGAAAAAGTCACATGGCACTTGATGATGACAGATAATGAGAACATTGGTGTAGAGAGTACAGCACAGAAACCAGAGGTGTCATAATTACATGAGATGTATTCCTGTCTCTGTGTGCCACTCAGTTTTGCTGCACAGTTTTGAACTAAATGCCTCAACTTGTTGGGTCTAATGACTCCTTTCCAGATGAGACAAACCAGCAGGCCAATGAAGACTACTACGGCTGTCGACACAACAATGATCAGTCTGTTGTCTAGATGATGTCCCAGGGCAGAAGCCCGTGCTAGACCTCCTGTGCTAGTGAAATCTGAAAATACACCCCCCAAAAAAATTGTTGTTCGGTAATAATGTTAGTGCCTTCTCCATATTAAATGGCAAAACAGTCATGTTCAAACTACACTGGAAGGTCTTAATGTCATTATAGAGGAAAGTCTCTGGGTGTACACTAAAGTCTGTGAGTGTAGAGGGAGGTCTGTGAGTGTAGAGGGAGGTCTGTGAGTGTAGAGGGAGGTCTGTGAGTGTAGAGGGAGGTCTGTGAGTATAGAGGGAGGTCTGTGAGTGTAGAGGGAGGTCTGTGAGTGTAGAATGAGGTCTGTGAGTGTAGAGGGAGGTCTGTAAGTATAGAGGGAGGTCTGTGAGTGTAGAGGGAGGTCTGTGAGTGTAGAGGGAGGTCTGTGAGTGTAGAGGGAGGTCTGTGAGTGTAGAGGGAGGTCTGTGAGTGTAGAGGGAGGTCTGTGAGTGTAGAGGGAGGCCTGTGAGTGTAGAGGGAGGTCTGTGAGTGTAGGGAGAGGTCTGTGAGTATAGAGGGAGGTCTGTGAGTATAGAGGGAGGTCTGTGAGTATAGAGGGAGGTCTGTGAGTATAGAGGGAGGTCTGTGAGTATAGAGGGAGGTCTGTGAGTGTAGAGTGAGAGTGAGAGGTCTGTGAGTATAGAGGGAGATATGTGAGTGTAGGGAGAGGTCTGTGAGTGTAGAGGGAGGTCTGTGATTATAGAGGGAAGTCTGTGAGTATAGAGGAAGGTCTGTAGGTATAGAGGGAGGTCAGTGAGTGTAGAGGGAGGTCTGTGAGTATAGAGAGAGGTCTGTGAGTGTAGAGGGAGGACTGTGAGTATAGAGGGAAGTCTGTGAGTATAGAGGGAGGTCTGTGAATGTAGGGAGAGGTCTGTGAGTATAGAGGGAGGTCTGTGAGTATAGAGGGAGGTCTGTAAGTATAGAGGGAGGTCTGTGAGTAGAGAGGGAGGTCTGTGAGTATAGAGGGACGTCTGTGAGTGTAGAGGGAGGTCTGTGAGTGTAGTGAGAGGTCTGTGAGTATAGAGGGAGGTCTGTGAGTGTAGGGAGAGGTCTGTAAGTGTAGAGGGAGGTCTGTGAGTATAGGGAGAGGTCTTTGAGTGTAGAGGGAGGTCTGTGAGTGTAGGGAGAGGTCTGTGAGTGTAGGGAGAGGTCTGTGAGTATAGGGAGAGGTACGTGAGTGCAGATGGAGGTCTGTGAGTGTAGAAAGAGGTCTGTGAGTGTAGGGAGAGGTCTGTGAGTATAGGGAGATGTCTGTGAGTGTAGATGGAGGTCTGTGAGTGCAGAGGGAGGTCTGTGAGAATAGGGAGAGGTCTGTGAGTGTAGGGAGATCTGTGAGTGTAGGGAGATCTGTAAGTGTAGAGGGAGGTCTATGAGTATAGGGAGATCTGTAAGTGTAGAGGGAGTTCTGTGAGTATAGGAAGAGGTCTGTGAGTATAGGGAGAGGTCTGTGATTATAGGGAGAGGTCTGTGAGTATAGGGAGATCTGTAAGTGTAGAGGGAGTTCTGTGAGTATAGGAAGAGGTCTGTGAGTATAGGGAGAGGACTGTGAGTATAGGGAGAGGTCTGTGAGTATACGGAGAGGTCTGTGAGTATAGGGAGATGTCTGTGAGTGTAGAGACATCTGTGAGTGTAGAAGGAGGTCTGTGAGTATAGGGAGAGGTCTGTGAGTGTAGATTGAGTTCTGTGAGTGTAGAGGGAGGTCTGTGAGTCTAGAGGGAGATCTGAGTGTGAGTGTAGAGGGGTGTCTGAATGTGTTAGTAGAGGGAGGTCAGAATGTGTTTTTAGAGTGAGGTATGAATGTGGGTGTAGAGGGAGGTCTCAGTGTGGGTGTAGACAGAGATCTGAGTGTTGGTGTAGAGGGAGGTCTCAGTGTGAGTGTAGACAGAGATCTGAGTGTGAGTGTAGAGGGAGGTCTGAGTGTGGGTGTAGAGGGAGATCTCAGTGTGAGTGTAGAGGGAGGTCTGAGTGTGAGTGTAGAGGGAGATCTCAGTGTGAGTGTAGAGGGAGGTCTGAGTGTGGGTGTAGAGGGAGATCTCAGTGTGAGTGTAGAGGGAGGTCTCAGTGTGAGTGTAGAGGGAGGTCAGAGTATGAGTGTAGAGGGAGGTCTGAGTGTGAGTGTAGAGGGAGGTCAGAGTATGAGTGTAGAGGGAGGTCTGAGTGTGGGTGTAGAGGGAGATCTCAGTGTGAGTGTAGAGGGAGGTCTCAGTGTGAGTGTAGAGGGAGGTCAGAGTGTGAGTGTAGAGGGAGGTCTCAGTGTGAGTGTAGAGGGAGGTCTCAGTGTGAGGGTAGAGGGAGGTCTCAGTTTGGGTGTAGAGGGAGGTCTGAGTGTGAGTGTAGAGGGAGTTCTGAGTTTGAGTGTAGAGGGAGGTCTGACTGTGAGTGTAGAGGGAGGTCTGAGTGTGAGTGTAGAGGGAGGTCTCAGTGTGGGTGTAGAGGGAGGTCTCAGTGTGGGTGTAGAGGGAGGTCTTAGTGTGAGTGTAGAGAGAGATCTCAGTGTGGGTGTAGAGGGAGGTCTCAGTGTGGGTGTAGAGGGAGGTCTCAGTGTGAGTGTAGAGGGAGGTCTCAGTGTGGGTGTAGAGGGATGTCTCAGTGTGAGTGTAGAGGGAGGTCTGAGTGTGAGTGTAGAGGGAGGTCTGAGTGTGGGTGTAGAGGGAGGTCTGAGTGTGAGTGTAGAGGGATGTCTGAGTGTGGGTGTAGAGGGAGGTCTGAGTGTGAGTGTAGAGGGATGTCTGAGTGTGAGTGTAGAGGGAGGTCTGAGTGTGAGTGTAGAGGGAGATCTCAGTGTGAGTGTAGAGGGAGGTCTCAGTGTGAGTGTAGAGGGATGTCTGAGTGTGAGTGTAGAGGGAGGTCTGAGTGTGAGTGTAGAGGGATGTCTGAGTGTGGGTGTAGAGGGAGGTCTGAGTGTGAGTGTAGAGGGATGTCTCAGTGTGAGTGTAGAGGGAGGTCTGAGTGTGAGTGTAGAGGGAGGTCTGAGTGTGAGTGTAGAGGGAGGTCTGAGTGTGAGTGTAGAGGGATGTCTGAGTGTGAGTGTAGAGGGAGGTCTGAGTGTGAGTGTAGAGGGGGTCTGAGTGTGAGTGTAGAGGGAGTCTGAGTGTGAGTGTAGAGGGAGGTCTGAGTGTGAGTGTAGAGTCTGAGTGGATGTCTGAGTGTGAGTGTAGAGGGATGTCTGAGTGTGAGTGTAGAGGGAGGTCTGAGTGTGAGTGTAGAGGGATGTCTGAGTGTGAGTGTAGAGGGATGTCTGAGTGTGAGTGTCTGAGTGTGAGTGTAGAGGGATGTCTGAGTGTGAGTGTAGAGGGAGGTCTGAGTGTGAGTGTAGAGGGATGTCTGAGTGTGGGTGTAGAGGGAGGTCTGAGTGTGAGTGTAGAGGGATGTCTGAGTGTGAGTGTAGAGGGAGGTCTGAGTGTGAGTGTAGAGGGATGTCTGAGTGTGGGTGTAGAGGAAGGTCTGAGTGTGAGTGTAGAGGGATGTCTGAGTGTGGGTGTAGAGGGAGGTCTGAGTGTGAGTGTAGAGGGAGGTCTCAGTGTGAGTGTAGAGGGATGTCTCAGTGTGGGTGTAGAGGGATGTCTCAGTGTGAGTGTAGAGAGAGTTCTGAGTGTGAGTGTAGAGGGAGGTCTGAGTGTGGGTGTAGAGGGAGGTCTGAGTGGGAGTGTAGAGGGAGGTCTGAGTGTGAGTGTAGAGGGATGTCTGAGTGTGAGTGTAGAGGGAGGTCTCAGTGTGAGTGTAGAGGGAGGTCTCAGTGTGAGTGTAGACAGAGGTCTCAGTGTGAGTGTAGAGGGAGGTCTGAGTGTGAGTGTAGAGGGAGTTCTGAGTTTGAGTGTAGAGGGAGGTCTGAGTGTGTGAGTGTAGAGGGAGGTCTCAGTGTGGGTGTAGAGGGAGGTCTCAGTGTGAGTGTAGAGGGAGGTCTGAGTGTGAGTGTAGAGGGAGGTCTCAGTGTGGGTGTAGAGGGAGGTCTCAGTGTGAGTGTAGAGGGATGTCTGAGTGTGGGTGTAGAGGGAGGTCTGAGTGTGAGTGTAGAGGGATGTCTGAGTGTGAGTCTAGAGGGAGGTCTCAGTGTGAGTGTAGAGGAAGGTCTCAGTGTGGGTGTAGAGGGAGGTCTCAGTGTGAGTGTAGAGGGATGTCTGAGTGTGGGTGTAGAGGGAGGTCTGAGTGTGAGTGTAGAGGGATGTCTGAGTGTGAGTGTAGAGGGAGGTCTCAGTGTGAGTGTAGAGGGAGGTCTCAGTGTGGGTGTAGAGGGAGGTCTCAGTGTGAGTGTAGAGGGATGTCTGAGTGTGGGTGCAGAGGGAGGTCTGAGTGTAAGTGTAGAGGGATGTCTGAGTGTGAGTGTAGAGGGAGATCTCAGTGTGAGTGTAGAGGGAGGTCTCAGTGTGAGTGTAGAGGGAGGTCTCAGTGTGAGTGTAGACAGAGGTCTCAGTGTGAGTGTAGAGGGAGGTCTGAGTGTGAGTGTAGAGGGAGTTCTGAGTTTGAGTGTAAAGGGAGGTCTGACTGTGAGTGTAGAGGGAGGTCTCAGTGTGGGTGTAGAAGGAGGTCTCAGTGTGAGTGTAGAGGGAGGTCTGACTGTGAGTGTAGAGGGAGGTCTCAGTGTGGGTGTAGAGGGAGGTCTCAGTGTGAGTGTAGAGGGATGTCTGAGTGTGGGTGTAGAGGGAGGTCTGAGTGTGAGTGTAGAGGGATGTCTGAGTGTGAGTCTAGAGGGAGGTCTCAGTGTGAGTGTAGAGGAAGGTCTCAGTGTGGGTGTAGAGGGAGGTCTCAGTGTGAGTGTAGAGGGATGTCTGAGTGTTGGTGTAGAGGGAGGTCTGAGTGTGAGTGTAGAGGGATGTCTGAGTGTGAGTGTAGAGGGAGGTCTCAGTGTGAGTGTAGAGGGAGGTCTCAGTGTGGGTGTAGAGGGAGGTCTCAGTGTGAGTGTAGAGGGATGTCTGAGTGTGGGTGTAGAGGGAGGTCTGAGTGTAAGTGTAGAGGGATGTCTGAGTGTGAGTGTAGAGGGAGATCTCAGTGTGAGTGTAGAGGGAGGTCTCAGTGTGAGTGTAGAGGGAGGTCTCAGTGTGAGTGCAGAGGGAGGTCTCAGTGTGAGTGTAGAGGGAGGTCTCAGTGTGAGTGTAGATGGAGATCTAAGTGTGAGTGTAGAGGGAGGTCTCAGTGTGAGTGTAGACAGAGATCTGAGTGTGGGTGTAGAGGGAGGTCTCAGTGTGAGTGTAGAGGGAGGTCTGAGTGTGAGTGTAGAGGGAGGTCTCAGTGTGAGTGTAGAGGGAGGTCTCAGTGTGAGTGTAGAGGGAGGTCTGAGTGTGGGTGTAGAGGGAGGTCTCAGTGTGGGTGTAGAGGGAGGTCTCAGTGTGAGTGTAGAGGGAGGTCTCAGTGTGAGTGTAGAGGGAGGTCTCAGTGTGAGTGTAGAGGGAGTTCTCAGTGTGAGTGTAGAGGGAGGTCTGAGTGTGAGTGTAGAGGGAGGTCTGAGTGTGAGTGTAGAGGGATGTCTGAGAGTGGTTGTAGAGGGAGGTCTCAGTGTGAGTGTAGAGGGAGGTCTCAGTGTGAGTGTAGAGGGAGGTCTCAGTGTGAGTGTAGAGGGAGATCTCAGTGTGAGTGTAGAGGGAGGTCTGAGTGTGAGTGTAGAGGGAGGTCTGAGTGTGAGTGTAGAGGGAGGTCTCAGTGTGAGTGTAGAGGGAGGTCTCAGTGTGAGTGTAGAGGGAGGTCTCAGTGTGAGTGTAGAGGGAGGTAGAGTGTGAGTGTAGAGGGAGGTCTCAGTGTGAGTGTAGAGGGAGATCTCAGTGTGAGTGTAGAGGGATGTCTGAGTGTGAGTGTAGAGGGAGATCTGAGTGTGAGTGTAGAGGGAGGTCTCAGTGTGAGTGTAGAGGGAGATCTCAGTGTGAGTGTAGAGGGAGGTCTCAGTGTGAGTGTAGAGGGAGATCTGAGTGTGAGTGTAGAGGGAGGTCTCAGTGTGAGTGTAGAGGGAGGTCTCAGTGTGAGTGTAGACAGAGATCTGAGTGTGGGTGTAGAGGGAGGTCTCAGTGTGAGTGTAGACAGAGATCTGAGTGTGAGTGTAGAGGGAGGTCTGAGTGTGAGTGTAGAGGGAGGTCTCAGTGTGAGTGTAGAGGGAGGTCTGAGTGTGGGTGTAGACAGAGGTCTGAGTGTGGGTGTAGAGGGAGGTCTGAGTGTGTGTGTAGAGGGAGGTCTGAGTGTGGGTGTAGAGGGAGGTCTGAGTGTGAGTGTAGAGGGAGGTCTGAGTGTGAGTGTAGAGGGAGGTTTGAGTGTGGGTGTAGAGGGAGGTCTGAGTGTGGGTGTAGAGGGAGGTCTGAGTGTGGGTGTAGAGGGAGGTCTCAGTGTGGATGTGGATGGAGATCTCAGTGTGAGTGTAGAGGGAGGTCTTGGGACTTACATCTATCAGACACAAGGACACAGACTTACATCTACCAGACACAAGGACACAGACTTACATCTACCAGACACAAGGACACAGACTTACATCTACCAGACACAAAGACACAGACTTACATCTACAAGACACAAGGACACAGACTTACATCTACCAGACACAAGGACACAGACTTACATCTATCAGACACAAGGACACAGACTTACATATACCAGACACAAAGACACAGACTTACATCTATCAGACACAAGGACACAGACTTACATCTACCAGACACAAGGATGCAAACTTACATCTATCAGACACAAGGACACAGACTTACATCTACAAGACACAAGGACACAGACTTACATCTACAAGACACAAGGACACAGACTTACATCTATCAGACACAAGGACACAGACTTACATCTACATGACACAAGGACCAAGACTTACATCTACAAGACACAAGGACACAGACTTACATCTACCAGACACAAGGACACAGACTCACATCTACCATACACAAGGACACAGACTCACATCTACAAGACACAAGGACACAGACTTACATCTACCAGACACAAGGACACAGACTCACATCTACCAGACACAAGGACACAGACTTACATCTACATGACACAAGGACCAAGACTTACATCTACAAGACACAAGGACACAGACTCACATCTACAAGACACAAGGACACAGACTTACATCTACCAGACACAAGGACACAGACTCACATCTACCAGACACAAGGACACAGACTTACTCAGCATGAAAGGCTTGGATACCACCCTGTGGATGTGTGTCATGGTTGTCTTGTTGCCGTCCAAAACCTCTAACTGCAATGTAAAACTAACTGTAATCAGAAAGTCTACACACATTGCACAATTTATAGTTCACAACAACATAACTTACAACATACAACAATGTAACTCACAACACACAACAACGTAACTTACAACACACAACAGCATAACTTACAACACACAACAAGATAACTTACAACATACAACAATGTAGCTTACAACACACAAAAACATAACTTACAACACATAACAACATAATTTATGACATACAACCATGTAACACACAACAACGTAACTTACAACACACAACAATGTAAATTACAGCATACAACAAGGTGGCTGTAGAACACACCCAAACGTCACTTACATCACACAACAGCATAACTCACAACACACAACAATGTGGCTGTAGAACACACACAAATGTAACTTACAAAACACATCAGCATAACTTACAACACACAACAATGTGGCTGTAGAACATACACAAACGTCACTTACAACACACAACAGCATAACTTACAACACACAATAATGTGGCTGTAGAACACACAAAAACGTAACTTATAAAACACAATAGCATAACTTACAACACATAACAATGTGGCTGTAGAACACACACAAACGGAACTTATAAAACACAAAAGCATAACTTACAACACATAACAATGTGGCTGTAGAGCACACACAAACGTAACTTATAAAAAACAATAGCATTACTTACAACACATAACAATGTGGCTGTAGAACACACACAAACGTAACTTGCAAAACACAACATCATAACTTACAACACATAACAATGTCGCTGTAGAACACACACAAACGTAACTTACAAAAAATAACAACAGAACTTACAGAGACAACAATGTAGCTTACAACACAAAATAGCCTCATTTACTACACATAGCAACATAGCATACAACACACAA